TGGTCAGCTACAGTCATGATCAAATTCGGATCCTTCTCCGGCGGGTTGACGATGTTATCCTTCATGTTAAAGTAAATTTCTTTCCTGTTTCAGCGACAACAACTGTTTTCCTTTACGTAGAAAACGCATAGGACTGGTACAGTTTTGTTTTGGTGCTGTGCATGGAAAATAATCTTCTACCTTTTAGTTTTTGATTTTTGATTTCTGAGTTTTATCACACAAGAAATCAAGGACGTTGTGGCTGAACACCTAGAGACAGGAGCAGCAGGACCACTACTTATGGACTACCCCAGCAACCTGTCTTGAATGCACCGCCTACGCGAACGAGCAGAGAAAGAAGAGAAGCGCATCAAGCAACTTGTGGGAATTGCAAACGGCGCGGGACTAGTCAGACCAAACAGAAGCTGCGTTTCAGGATCATCTGCACCACCAAGACCAGGAGGAAGAGTTTTTGCGGGATTCCACCAACAAGGATTCCAAGGATTCCAAGACAACTACTCCTTCCACGATGAGAGCCAGGAGCACAACGTTTCCGTCGCTTTCAGTTGGCGCGCACGCATGTTAATAATTTAACGGTCATAATTCGTGATGCCTAGGGTACAGGTTTAGTGCTACGGACGCCGGAAGGACTATATCCAGGAGGACCTCCCTGTGTTGCTGTACGAGGTACGCTACTTGTACCGGTGCTACTACCAGTCTCCAAAACAATTCAGGTGATTGCGATGGGTACCGGTACCGGCACGATTACACGACTTCAACTCTTTCTCGGAGTCTTTGTATCCCTTTTCTCCTGCTGGTATGCGGCCCTTTCAGCAGACAATTACCGTAGCTTTATTTTGAAATATGCTCCTATATTGATGATCTTACTGTTGGGGCTCTATGCTGTATCGTCCATCGCATACGGTGTGTTTCAATGCAAGGACTTCCCAGACGCTGCTCGTTCAATTGAAAAGCAAGTTGAGGAAGCAAAAGCTGAAATGAGTCGAAGAGGTGTTATACTGCATGAGTAAGTGATTGAAGGTGATAGAGTTTGTGCAACGAATGCTGATTGACAAGGTTTCGTGGCGCACGTGAACCCACATTTTCGATCGATTGCAGAAGAGACGTCGAAACACGTCAATCAATACAGTAGTCCGCATGATCGCTGGAGGGATCCAATTACTTGGCCGGGCTGACCATGATGCAATCGCTTCTTGAACATGGAAATCAAACAAATTCGGCAGTCAGTAGTTATCGCTAAGGGATCTAGAGTTACTCTAAACGAGAATCTGCAGAGAAGAACAAACTGAATTTCTACATTTCAACACCAGCGTGCAATAATACCATGTAATTAACGTCGTGTTCTAACGTCACAAGACAAATATATTTTAAATGGTCGCTGAGGAATCTAGAGTTACTCCCAACGAGACTCTGCAGAGAAGAACAAATTGAATTTCTACATTTCAACACCAGCGTGCAATAATACCATGTAATCAACGTCATGTTCTAACGTCACAAGAAAAATATATTTTAAATAGTCGACAGAGGATAGTACTAGAGTTCAACATCAGCGGCCAACAACGCCATATATTCTTCGTCGCCGTCATCGTTGCTTTCTTCAAGCTTTTCACAAGCAACTGATCGTAAAGCAGCGGAGTATTGCAGCGGAAATTCGTCTTCTTCATGATAATAATATTCCTCTGCTTTCTCGAACAACGTGTACAAAATACATAATTTCGTGACACTAGGGAAGTAGACGAAGCTATCACTGAAGCTGTTGTAATACTTCTTCAAGTACGCTAACTCATTGGCAGCAGTACGTAAAGCATCCACGGCCTCTTTCTCCATTTCCTCTTCCAGCTCATTATCTTCCGTTTCCTTGATCAGAGCGCTAAACTCCTCCTTGATCATTTTTTCCCTCAATTCTGAATCAGAAATCTTACTTTCTGGAACTTTAGCGACTTCCTTTTCGAGGACCACATATTGAAATTCGTCACCTTTCCTTTCGTCATGTGTTCTCACTTCCTCTTTTCCTTCAGACACCACATCTTTCGTGGCCTCTTCAGTTTTTTTCTCCTTTTTCTTTTTTGATTCCAGACGTTCCTTCCATTTCTTTGCTCTTTCCGACTGTAACAAAGGTGGATTTTATTAGCATATCAAGAACGACAAAGAATGGACCCACACGATAATACTCTACCTTCCCCTTCAATTTTGGCTTTGCAGAAGGTTCCTCTTCGCCACCTGTTACATCGTCTGTTGCACGTGCATCGCTGGCATCTTCGGGGACCTCTACGGCTTCGGCTTCTGCTTCTAAAGAAAGTCGGGCGTCCTCCTTGGCCTTTAATCGAGCTTCTTCGGCATCCTTCGCTTCTGCTTCTGCATCAATTCGAGCCTCCTCCTCCGCCTTCGCCCTAGCCTCCTCTTCAGCAGCCTTCGCTTCTGCATCGATTCGAGCCTCCTCCTCCGCCTTCGCCCTAGCCTCCTCTTCAGCAGCCTTCGCTTCTGCTTCTGCGGTAATTCGAGCCTCCTCCTCCGCCTTCGCCCTAGCCTCCTCTTCAGCAGCTTTCGCTTCTGCTTCTGCATCAATTCGAGCCTCCTCCTCCGCCTTCGCCCTAGCCTCCTCTTCAGCAGCCTTCGCTTCTGCTTCTGCGGCAATTCGAGCCTCCTCCTCCGCCTTCGCCCTAGCCTCCTCTTCAGCAGCCTTCGCTTCTGCTTCTGCGGCAATTCGAGCCTCCTCCTCCGCCTTCACCCTAGCCTCCTCTTCAGCAGCCTTCGCTTCTCCTTCTGCGGTAATTCGAGTCTCCTCCTCCTCCTCCGCCTTCGCCCTAGCCTCCTCTTCAGCAGCTTTCGCTTCTGCTTCTGCATCAATTCGAGCCTCCTCCTCCGCCTTCACCCTAGCCTCCTCTTCAGCAGCCTTCGCTTCTGCTTCTGCGGCAATTCGAGTCTCCTCCTCCGCCTTCGCCCTAGCCTCCTCTTCAGCAGCCTTCGTTTCTGCTTCTGCGGCAATTCGAGCCTCCTCCTCCGCCTTCGCCCTAGCCTCCTCTTCAGCAGCTTTCGCTTCTGCTTCTGCGGCAATTCGAGCCTCCTCCTCCGCCTTCGCCTCATCTGCAGCAGCCTTCGCTTCTGCTTCTGCGGCAAGTTGAGCCTCGTCTTCGTCCTTCGCTCTAGCATCCTCCTCGGCCTTTAATTGAGCTTCTTCGACAGCCTTTGCTTCTGCTTCTGCGGTGTTTCGGGTCTCGTCTTCGGCCTTTAATCGAGCTTCTTCAGCAGCCTTCTCTTCTGCTTCTGCAGTCATTCGAACGTCTGTGGCAAGTCGAGCCTCCTCTTCGGCCTTCATTCTGGTCTCCTCATTCCGTTCTTTCTCTGCTGGTGTTAGCTCTTCACTGCTCTGGTCCTCCTTTGACGGATCTGTACCATGCACCTTTTCGCTCTGAGGGTCAGGTTTGTCTCGTTTCTTTTGGAGTCTATCCTTCCATTTCGAGGCTTTTTTTTCACGCTTGCTGTCAGGGTCAGTCGACAAAGCCTCGGTACTGTTTTCGGATTGTTTTTGGGCTACCTTGAATCCGCCCACGTCTGAAACTGCGGTTTTGCTACCTTGTGAAGGCCTTTCCTTTTGCGCTACCTTGAATCCGCCGACGTCTGAAACTGCGGTTTTGCTACCATGTGAAGGCCTTTCCTTCTGCGCTACCTTGAATCCGCTGACGTCTGAAACTGCGGTTTTGCTATCTTGTGAAGGCTTTTTCTTCTGAGCTACCTTGAATCCGCCGACGTCTGAAACTGCGGTTTTGCTATCTTGTAAAGGCTTTTCCTTTTGCGCTACCTTGAATCCGCCGATGTCTGAAACTGCGGTTTTGCTATCTTGTAAAGGCTTTTCCTTTTGCGCTACCTTGAATCCGCCGACGTCTGAAACTGCGGTTTTGCTATCTTGTGAAGGCTTTTCCTTTTGCGCTACCTTGAATCCGCCGACGTCTGAAACTGCGGTTTTGCTATCTTGTGAAGGCTTTTCCTTCTGTGCTACCTTGAACCTTCCAACACCAGAAACATCAACCTTTGTAGCTAGTGGCGCTTGACTAGGATCGATCGATTCGCTATTCTTGTCAACGGAAGTGCTGTCTTCGTGAATCGCTTCGCCATCTGGACCGCGTGATTCGACAGTTTCGTTTCCTTCAACTTCCGATGACCGCGGGGTCTTCACAGGAGTTTTTGTCGCAATAATCGACGCCCCACGGGTCTGCATGGTAAGTGGGGCATGTCCTTGAGCAGTAACGACGACTTCGTGCTTCCGTTTTGTGCTGTCATATTTTCGCTTCCATTCAGGAATCGACTCATCCTTGTTCTTGTCCAGGTTGACAGATTGATCCGTGCTGGAATCATCGTCGCTGTTCTCGCTTGTCTCTTGTTTCGCAGCAACCAAAACTTGTCCATCCATTCTGACTGTGCGCGGTGCATTGCGGTCTACATCTGATTTTCTCATAATGCCTGGATCTTGATCTTTGTGCCGAAATCCCACGGATGATAAATTTGATTCCAACCGATTCTCACCGTTCAAGCTATGCATGAGCTGCGGCTTGAAAGTACAATACTTCAATTCTTCTTCCTCGAGTCTGCGGTCTCGAATTTCTCGGTCAGTGAGCTTTCTTTCTCTCTTCGGATGCTTTTCCGCTTCGTACGCTTCTTTCTCACGTTGCAAACGCGCCTTCTCCCGTCTTTCGGCGACCAGATTCCAAGTTGTCCTTGGAGCAAACGTACATTCCTTCAGATCCTCGTCTGTGGATTGCCTTCGTGGCACCGCCTGCCGAATCCGTTGTTTCATTGGGCTTCTTTTTGCATCGTACTCAGCTTGTTCAGCTTGCTCGTGTGCCAATCTTCTTCTGACAGTCGCAAGGTCCCACTTTGTTCGAGGTCGAAAAGATATACCTTCAAGTTCTTGATCTTCCATCCTTCTTCTCTTTGCCTCCTCTTCATCCTACAATGGCAATCAACGAAATCAGATTCAAAGCAAGAAACAGGATAGTCAGCAACTTGACAGCTATTACCTTCCGAGTTTGGTGTGCAATACTCGCTGCAGTTTGTTTTGAGTATAATCTCTCAAAGACAGACCCACTTCCGACACATTTTTGTGTGGAGCCACCGTCAACCATGATGAGATAACACACCAAGACAATGTTTAATGTTTTGCTTCTCGTTACGTTTTTGACATACAGTAGTTCCCATCCGATCCGGAACCTTGGTGCGAAAATTTTGGAGTATTCTTGTTTATTGAAGAATACGAGCCGGCATCCCCGCCAACCGAATTCAACTGACTTGAGTGAGTGAGTCACTCACATTGTGAACTTGATTCCCGTCTGCCATACACTACCAGGTCCACTCACTGGCACTTGGTACGGTTCCGGTACCAGTACCGGTACCGTTGAAGGATTGATTACATTTCGGTATCAATAGCCATAGCCTACTCAATCACCTTATCTTTTGTAGCATCAAACTACGGAATAACGTTTATTACATCCTTGGTATGAAAGAGGAAAACACTACTATTTCACAAGCAAAGTCGTCCTCCGTGGCTGCGTTTCTACTGTACCGTACTGTACCTGTAGTGTACGTTCGCTACCTTCTACACTCATCGTTCAAGAAACCGATTCATTCGACCATCGTTTCTCACAACAATTATTCAAATTGAGATCACATTCGTTTGAAGATTGCAAGCACCTTTCGACTATATCAACTGACTGAGCATGCATCAACGCTATGCAACTAACTTGGATCAACGCGTCAAAAGAACACAAAAAAATTCAAAACGGCAGAGGGCAATGGTGAATGGTGACAATATCAAGATGAAGAAACGCCCAACCCGCCATGAACTGAAGCTTATACTTCGTTTTTCGATGGTAGTCGTCATTGTTTTGGCGCTCACTGCAATATTATTGAGAAAATCCAGCACTACGGAAGAATTCCAAGTCTTCTCTTCCAAGGCACCTCTTTGTTTGCCGTTGAGTAATCTGCCAACATTTACCATGGTCACACAATTATCACAAGACCGTTTATGGATGATGGAGCATCATTGTGAAAGGTTTCCTCATCCCATTTCCATTGCAGTATGGACAAACGAGTCTCTTCGTGAGATTGAGGACCAACTTATTTCGTTGAAGTGCAGCTTGGACATGGTTCGAGTGCAGGTCCTCGATGCTAGCGATATGGCATTCGATGACTATCCCGTGAATCACCTGAGGAACTTGGCTTTGCAGCAAGTGGAGACAACTCACATTGTCTTCATTGACGTTGATTTCTGGAGTAGCGAGGGTCTCTATGACATTCTGACCAACAAAACTGTAACCAGTGCGCTCGTTGAAAACAAAGACATCGCTTTGGTTATTCCAGCCTTTCAGTTATTTCGCCAATGTACTTTGTGGGTCGACTGTCGAGAAAGGAATGTTCCGTCCATGCCGTTCTCGTTAGATGAGTTATTGGATATGCGGAGAAACAAACGCGGCCACATCTTTGATCCCACAAACAAAGGTGGCCATGGTTCGACGTTGTACGAGGAATGGCTATTGCAGGAAGAAGGTACTCTTTTAGAAATTCCATGTCTCAAATCGAATAGGTATGAACCATTCATTGTGGTCCGCTACTGCCGAGATCTGCCACCTTTTCAAGAAGCGTTTTCTGGATATGGCAAGAACAAAATGAGCTGGATGATGCAATTGGTTCGTAGCGGTTACACTTTGTCCCAGCTTGGAGGGGCTTTCCTCGTACACTACCCTCACTTGGATTCTCAGTCACGGCAACGGTGGAATGAAGCGCCGGATCAATTGAAGGTTTTCAGGGGCGACGACAGAGAGCATTTTTTCCCACTTGTACGGAAACCAAACGCAACAGACAACGGATTGGATTTGAAGGCATTCAAACGGGGTCAGGTTGATGAAATCTTTGTTCGATTTCGAAAATGGCTTCAAGAGCAAGTCCCTGACAATTCCAAACTGAAGGTTTGTGATGATCATGAAGATGACGATTCAAAGTTGTGGGTAGATCGTGCGGAATAGAGAAACAGACTGCTCGTATTTCTCCTATGTTTCCTTGAAGGAAACAAGCACTATCATGAAACCGTTCTGCGGCGTACCATTGATCCGCTTTTTCTCTTGCGAATGCGAATTGTTTATGAACGTTTTCCTATTGTGCCTTAGTCCATTTCGGAAGAGAAGCACTCAAAATGGATTCATGGGGTTTCATGCATTGCAGAAAAAAAAATTGGAACAGCTCGAAGCTGTGGTACTTTACAGGCTTGCAAAAAGACATGGGATGTTGCAAATGTCAAGTATTGGGTCGGTGGATATTTTTATATGATACAACACGTAACCTCGCTTGACTATCTCAGGTGAACGAAACATCATTTCTAATCTTATAGTTGGAAATGCACCTCAAATGATCGCCAAAAAAAAAAAGAGCCAAAACAACAGAAAAGCAACACGTGCCCTCTAAACAGCAAAATGAAGATGGCAAATCCTACAGCTTCGAGGGAAGTGCGTGATGGAGGTCCGCATCAAGAAGAGTGATATGCTTTTATTCTGGGAAAGAAAAGAGCGATTTGGGTGTGACTGACATCACCAGACACGGGTTCGCACTCTGGATCAAGATTTGGACATCGAGAAAGTAGTGAACTTAAGTTGTTGCTGTTTGAACAAGAATCGAAATTGGAATTTCTAAAAGGAAGAATAAGGCACATCGAGGATGCGGAGTGCGTGTTGCTGAAACAGGAACAGAGTTTGCGAAATCCTAGAAGATACAGTACTGTACGATTTCTTATCTAGAGTTGTCGAACAATCAAAGTCTCACGCAAGCAAGACAACTGTTGTTAAGGATATCTCATTTGGAGACACGGGAGAAGTATTGTAGGGATCTGGGAATTAAACAGTAATGTCAGCTGTCTGAACATTCAGACACCACAAAGTAAAGATCCAATTGGGTCTGACTTCACCGAAGATGAAGGGCTTTAAAAGCAGAGGACAAACAAAATCAACCAGTCAAATCATCCTAATGTTATCGAGAAGATTTTTACTGACCGCAATACTCCTCCAGAGATTTGCATAAGCCGAGTGACTTTTTTACATCAGAATGGTGAGTTATTCATTCTACGATTGCCATGATGAGTTTGTAGGATAGCCACCCTCGGCGCAAGTTGGATGGAACGCAGTGTGAGTTCAGTATGTCTCGCCGTATCAAGATCCTCAGAACAGTCAAACCCGTGAACTTTGTATGATCCAAATGAAGTTGTATTTAAAAGATGTCACTTCACAAAGTCACAGCTCCATACAAATTCCCCTCCCTAAATGTCGTCTAGGAGACCTTGGATCAGATTGTCGGCAACATTGTCTAGCGTTGCTGCTGGGTCGCTGCTGGACACGGGCGTTGTGCACAGACTTTCAATATTCTCCTCTTCGTCGTTAACGATCTTGTCAGCGAGCACCTCAATGCTGCGGGACAAACTAGGTTTTGTTCTGGAACGCTCCCTGGCACTGTAAGCTGTTGATGAATAAGAAGTAGGTTCCAGAGCATTTCGGTTGAAGATCTTTAACGCACGTTTGTTGAGGCTTGCGAGGCCTTCAACATTAAATAGTCTTGCTTCCAGCTCAGCGAGTGAGTGGTACAGTGGTGCATGAGTAGGATTCAGTTCCATTCCTTTTTCATATACTGCCCTAGCCTGCGGAAGGATTAGGACATCGCCGTTCAGTTGAACTGCAGAGTACAATAGTATTTACGTACGTCATTGAATTTTCCTCGCCCGGCGAGATGATCGCCAAGCGCTCTATACAGCTCAGCATAACTTGGAGCACACTACATAAATGGAATTAGTTCAGTTCGACTCACCGGCGAATAGACAACATGATTCAACGACCACCATTCTCACCTCTATACCTCGACGCAAAAGTAAATTTGCAAGACCAAAGTTTCGTCCGGCTTCTTCTATTTCCGCCGCTACAAGACCACCGTTAGTATTCGTTTGTCGTTGTCAGACACCTTCGTCACACTAGAAATGGCTTACCAACTTGCCAACCACGGCCGTTCTTCTTGTTCCTTGTGAGGGCCTCAGCAATGAGTTTTCGCGCAGCTTGATGATTTCCGTCTCGCATCTCTAAAAGCGCCCAACCTTGATAAAGAGGCACATATTGAGGGGAGTTCTTCACACCTTCTCCAAAAAGACTATATTCGAAAAAGCCAGCCATTCGTTAGCATCGTAGCAACAGGAAGACAAAAGAAATATTCCTTTATATGACTTACGTCCGAGACTTTTCCACGTTTCCTCTCTTTCCTTCTAACAATGCTGTGACATTTGAGCTAATTTAGTTTCACAGAAGAAAGCAAACACGACAACGTTGTCCTTCTTACCATAGCCGTGCCATAAAGCGCCATGATTTCGTGCACTGCGAATGCCGCACTGGAATAGTGTCAATGCTGTATCGAAGTCGCCAGCTCTAGTCTCCATTACCGCCCAAGCTTGCCAAGCCTGTGCATGTTTCCGATCGTTCAAAACAGACATTTCGAAAAGTTCTCGAGCTGAATCGTCGTTGCCCATCCTTATTTCACAAAGAGCTGCTCCAAGGAGGAGTTGTGATGAGTTTCCATAGCGGTTGAGGCCTTCTTCAAATATCTCCAAAGCTGCTCCTGGGCGGTTGCCATTCAATTCGAGCATGCCTAGAGTGTGTGAGAGAAAGCTCGCACGATCGCGGTGCGTGGAATCAGTGGACCAAGTTTTCTTTCTAATCTCCACCAGCCCATTTTGTAAAATTGACCGAGCACTCTCAATGTTACCACAATTGATTTCTAGCATGCCATACCCATGGTACAGAGATCCCAAATCGGAACATCTTGCGTTGACGCCGCGTTCGAACACAGATCTGGCAGATTCGACATCCCCTCTTTGAAATTCGGCATTCCCGTATGCGTTGTACGCAGGACCATGACGCGGGTCCAAAAGCAATGCCTCTTCAAATAAGCCTTTAACGCGAGTGATATTTACCGTCCCACTTTCAGGCATACGCAACTCCAACATGGCAGATGCCACCAACGTTGGTGCCGAAGGCTCCAGCTGGAGGCTTTGCACATAAAAGCGTCGTGCTGCTGTAAAGTTCCCAAGCCGCTCCTCGACTTTCCCTGCTGCTTGAAAAAGCTGCGACAAAGATTATTAGAGCACAAGAAGATGATCGCAAACAGTAGCAAAAAACTTACTGCATGATCTTGAGGATATAATTCCATGCCTCTTTTCAGCACATGTCTTGCTCTCTGAAAATTTCGATCTTTCGCCTCGATCCTCGCAAGGGCGTTGAATATGCGTCCATCAGTCGGATCAGACGGTGGATACATCCCCTCTTCTATGGAATTACATATTTCAGCAAGCCTTTTTGCAGTTGCGTTATCATCCAATGATTCACCTTGATCAAAATGACGTTGCATTCTGCCCTCGAGTCGTGCAAGGGCCACATTGGCAAGACTGGATGCAGGGTCTAATTTCAGTGCCGAATTGATTAGCTCTGCCGCTCTTTTGTGATCCCCAAAATACTGCTCTTCCAACCATGCATGAGCAAGGTAGACTTCAACCCTATCCTTTTCTTTCCTCAGGCGTGGTGCACTCCGTGTGTAGAGATCTCTCGTGGCCTGTGTACTATTCCTTTCCAAAAACAATTCGCCAAGTGAACAGACTAGCGCTGCAGTTGTTGTTCTTGAAAGCGCCTTTTCGAATAGTTGAATTGCTTTTGAGTCATTTCTTGATTTCTTCTCCATCAATCCAAATGCATGACAAACATATGGATTATGAGAATCAAGTTCTAATGCTGCTTCGAATAACTCTCGGGCTCGTTCCAAGTTTCCTCGAGATTCCTCGTAGACAGCCCATGCTTGCCAAATATGGACACTCTTTGGGCAAGACTTCGTTCCCTTGAGAAATGCTTCCTCTGCCTTACTAAGGCCAGGTGTAAGTATCGAATGTTTTTCGACGCTTTCTCTCGATTTGAGTTCTCGCCGAGCCTCAAGCCGGGCAAGCGCCAAGTGGGTATGTGCATCTTTGGGAGCATTTCTCAATATTCGAGCATACAGGCTGCTTGCTTCTGTCCACCTCCCTTGGCGTTCCATCTTCTTTGCTACTTGGAACTTATTCTTAATGGTATTCCTGCTCCACGTTTTTCGGGGTTTCGTAAGTCTAGACTTGTCACGATATCCTACTTCACCTTCCTTGACTGCAACTTCTGTGGTGGCTCTGCAAAGTGCAGAAGCAACTTTTTTTCTTACTCTTCTTGATTCTGCTGGTCTCTTTGTAGGAAAAACCCAGGCCCATGTATGTCTACAAAGACTAAGCTGCAGCGAAGCAACAAACCAGAAAAGAAGTCGACGAAAGGAAGACCTTTTCATTTCCTACTTCTTTCGCCTGGGCTGAGTGTTTTTCGTTCAAACTTCAAATTGATGGGTGTTTGAATTGTCGATTATCGAGTCAGATGTTGACATTGATCATTGACTTTCCTCTGCGTGGTTCCCTCGTCTGCCTGGCCGTACGTGCTATAAATCTTGCCTCAAACACATAATAATACCAGCTCTCCTTGGGGGAGGGGAAATCGGTATACTCTGAGTTTGGCGTTTGGGCATAAAATCGCACGTTGAATATTTTATGTATTATTAAAATATATATCCATAATATACGAGTATGTTCTTTGTCTCTGAAATTTATTTAGGAAAAATGCGCGCAGACATAGCACAGCTCAATCGTACGCGTGCTTGTGCACTTCACATCTCTGCTGGCACGTGCATAAAACGAATCATCACCCGAACAAACAACATGACAAACAACATCACGACAGGACAAATATCACATTTGCTATTCCATTCTTCGATCTGTGTGGTTTCAATCCAGTTGGAAAATTGAACTCCTTTGTGGCTCTTCCCATTAGTAGTAATGCCATATCCAAATTCCTCAGAGACAGGCTCCTCCATTTACTTCCACAAAGTCTAGCTTTTTACACTTCTGTCTCTCATACTTCCATTGCGCGAAGTGACAAACAGTGTGTAGCTATGAAAGTTTTGATTTTGATGTTCCAATTCCTCGCCTTTTACTAGGTTGGAGTCTTGTTGCGGTGAAGTGCTATAAATGTC